TGTAGGTTGGCCTCAAGTTCACCTTGAACTACTAATCTCTTGCCTCTACCCAAGTAATAGAGTTACAGGCATGTGCCACCATGGGTTATGTGATGTTAAGGATCCTATCCAGGATTTCACACATCCTAGGCAAGCAGTTTGCTACGCAAGCCCTATGGTTTGTAATTGTGATGTGCTTTACTCATACTGAGCTTCAGTCTTGGTCCCCACTTGGTACTTTGAAGAAGTTCCCCAACCTCTCTGAGTTGGCCTTTTCTATCAGACACAACTTAGAGTTTCCACCTCCTGGAGAACACAAACGAGATCAGCACCACTGATGACCAGAAGTGCTCCAGATGCATGTTTCTTTCCCCTCTGGTTTTCAAGTGTGCGAAACCCGGTCCCTTCCCTTTAAGCTTGTTAAGATTCTCTACTAGCTTTCTTTGTATGCAGCTGTGGGTAGGCAGGCAGGCAGCTTTGGCAGAAGGAAAGAGGAGCCTTTTAAGAAGTGACTGTTTCATAATCTGTTGGCACACAGATCTGCTGCAGCCACACCCTGTGCTTCTCAGGGTCCTGGGTCTTGTTGCAGTCAGCATGTGCCTTGCTCTAACCTAAATAACCCCAGAAAGCAGCTGCTGTGAAAGGCAGTACTGAATGCAGGATGGATTTTTTTTTTCTTCTCTACACTCGGGAAGGAAGCTGGCTCAGGGATTCTTAGCTGCAGAGGGAGGGGCATTCAGGCTTGGACTGCAGTCCTGCCTTGTAGCCAGGGGTTTTCTGGTTTTCATTAAAATTCTTGGGCTGTCTTTCGAGATTGCTCCATTGGATATGACTGTGCCGTAGCTGCGTGTGCTGTCCTCTCAACTTCACACCCATCAAATCCCAGTGGCCCCGGGAGGAAAGAAAATCCAAGGTGGGAAACAGCCTGGGTCAGGGATCTTTGTGGAGGGGGGCCCCCAAACTGTAAAGCTTGAGTTTGCTGAGTTCCAAATACACACAAGAAGGCAGACATGGGGATGGGTGGGTTACAGCCGGCTCTTGAAGGCAAATGGAGGTCCACAGGTCTCCATTAACAGAATCAGCTTGACCTGATTATTCTTTCTTTGGAGGCACTGATACCTTTTTGTGCCCAAAGGGGTCTGGGCCAAGGTTGGGGCCAGTTCTATGAGGGTAATTGGCTCTTTTAAAATGTTAGTTTCTGGTTGCTAAGGGAATCTCACTTGAGAGTGAAACTTGCACCAGAGAAGCTGGGTGACTTGTGATTCTGCAGTTGACTTGCTCTGTGACCTTGGATCAGTTACAGTCCCAGCATGAACTTTGCTGTGCGCCCTTGAGGGTTAAAGGAGACAAATTATGTAAAGCTCTTGGCAAATCCTATATTCTGTACAAACGGTAGATGTTATTATGAATCGGGCTAGATTTGACCTGTCACTCCAGCTCACCGAGCTGTATCCCGGTCCTGCCATCTGAAGCATTTGTTCTGCTTCCCTTCCAGCTTTATGCCATTTACGGATCTGAGGCAAATGAATTCCCCGGGGCAATCGGGAAGTCTTCTTACTGGAAAAATGTATCAAGCCGTATTATTGGGTTTCCCAGGGAGAAGCTTAAGATGACAGATATTTCATTGCGAGGTAACTTAGTAGAAGGAAAGATTTTTCTTTAATCATTCTTGACAGATAGATTGTGAGAAAGCCATCTTAGTTGATGTTGGGAATAAATATCCCCCGATGATACCCCCAAAAGAGCATCCCTGAGGTGCTCATCTGCCTTCTCGTAAGCTCCACTTCTAGTCTTTCTCATTGCAACTCTATCTGTAAACCCTATGTCCTAGCTGCAGTGGACTGCTCACATACAAACCAAATTAACTTGAAACATAACACATACTGAGGAGTGATTTAAGCTCTGAGATTAAAATGATGTATCCATCATTCAGTTAATTAAATGGAAATTGTTGATGCCCTAGAAAAAGCTGTCGCCCCTCCCCCCACAAAAATTCCAAAACAGTGATTATCCTGACTTGTGTGTTCATCATCCCCTTACTTTTCTTTGTGGTTTAACCAGCCACATTTATATTACTTAAATCTGTGCTGTTATGTTTTTTTTTAAAGCAAGCACATACCTAATGGATATAAACCCTGGGCCAGTCTGGCTTTTATCTCCCTGGGGGTTATGAAAGGTTTCAAGGAGCAAGTAAGTGGGAAAGATTGAAAGCAAGTATGAGGGATATAAGATTGTTCACTGTTAGTGTCAGAGGGTTATCATGTGGTCAAAGAGTGGATGGCTCTGTCATCTTTTTAGTCTCCCTGGTCTTCCTCCAGCTCTTAGGAAATAGGTCAGAGTCAAACTCCTATAAGTGAAGTGAGTGCCCATCCCTAACCCAATTAGGCACCAAGGAGGAGATATGCAGGTTAAGATCAGAGAACTACCTGAACCAGGTTTCCCTGTGTAGTCTTTATCAGTTTAAGGAACTATACAGAAGTGTCTAGAGACTGTCCTGACCTACAGTTAACTCCAGGACTTAGACTTGCTGGAAACAAGGGGAAAGATGACAGGTTGAATGATACTCTAAGCAAGCAAAATTCAAAATATAGGACATTCTATTGGATGCCTTGTAGGACATTCTACTGGATATCTTGTAGGACATTCTTTTTTTGTTTGTTGTTTGTTTTTTATTTTTATTTTTTTTGAGACAGGGTTTCTTTGTGTAGCTTTGGAGCCTATCCCGGCACTTGCTCTGTAGACCAGACTGGCCTCGAACTCAGAGATCTGCCTGTCTCTGCCTCCTGAGTGCTAGGATTAAAGGCGTGCACCACCAACACCTAGCCCTTGTAGGACATTCTATTGTTGGAAAATTCTATTGGATATTTTGTAGGGCATTCTATTGGACATTCTATTGTTGGATATTCTATTGGATGTCTTGTAGGACATTGTCTTGTTGGACATTCTATTGGGTGTCTTGCAGGACATCTTATTGTTGGATATTTTATTGGATGTCTTGTAGGACATTCTCTTGTTGGACGTTCTGATGGATGTTTTGTAGGACATCCTGTGTAGGATGTTGGATGTCTTTTAGGACATTCTATTGAATGTCTTGGCTTCTGAAACAAATTAATGACATTTGAAACAACACTAATGATTTAAGAATTATAAGCAGAGCTGGACCCAGTAATTGCCGTCTGTAGCTCCAGGTCCTTGGGAGGCTGAGGTAGCAAAATTGCTTGAGTTAAGGAATTCAGTGGTAGGCTGGGCGTTGGTGGCGCACGCCTTTAATCCCAGCACTTGGGAGGCAGAGGCAGGTGGATCTCTGTGAGTTCGAGGCCAGCCTGGTCTACAAGAGCTAGTTCCAGGACAGCCTCCAAAGCCACAGAGAACCCCTGTCTCGAAAAACCAAAAAAAAAAAAAAAAAAAAAGGAATTCAGTGGTAAGCCTAGAGAGGCCCAATTTAAAAGAAAAATGTATGTAACTGACAGAAGTATGTGGATTTTGTTTTACTTTGGGATAGACTATGTATTCATTTGCTGGGACTGCCATAACAAAACGCCACAGGCTTGGGTGGCTTAAAACTTTTCCTTCAGTTCTGAAAGTTAGGGAGACCAAAATGAAGGCCCTCATAGGTTAGTTTCCTTGGAAGCCTTTCTCATCGCCCCATCCTGCAAATGCCCCCGTTTCTATGTCTTAGTCACCTTTTCTGTACCGATTCCAATCAGATCAGGGCCACTTTCATTTTATTATGTCCTTAAAAACCCTGACCCCGACAGGTATGGTGGCACAAGCCTGGTGGTGGTGGCGCACACCTTTAATCCCAGCACTCGGGAGGCAGAGGCAGGCGGATCTCTGTGAGTTTGATGCCAGCCTGGTCTGCCAAAGTGAGTTCCAGGACAGCTAGGACTGTTACACAGAGAAACTGTCTCAAAACACAAACAAACAAACAAACATACAAAATGCCCTGACCCCAATTATAGTTATATTCTGAGGGTTTGGGAATTGGTTGGTGCTTCAATATGAATTTTGGGGGGTGGGACACAGTTCGGCTCATAACATGTAAAAAAGACATTAAAAAAAAAGATCTTGGGAAAATTTTACCAAGGATTATTAGGTGATAAATATGAGTTACTGCTATCTTTAGGAATGGCAGTAATATTTTGAAAGAGGTGACATAAAAATGGTCTTTGAGATACCTAAAGGTGAAATGCTGTGAGGTGGAATTAAAGACTCTTTAACCAAAAATAAATGTGACACATTAAGTCAGTGTGCTGAATTCTTGACAGCTGTTGAATGAGAATAGGAAGGACCTTTTGTGTTTGTAATTTAATAATCATAAAACAGTACCGTGACACACAATGGATTTACTGGTAGTGGAACGGTTGGTAATAACTGTCTTCAACGTGCCTGTGCCATGAATGCTTTCTCATCTGGTTGGCTTCTGTGTATGGTAGCCATACTCAGGGTCCTCCCACGCTGAAACCTGTACATCACTTGGTGAAGGACATCCCTGGGAGCATCCTTTAAGAGAGTGAATGGAATGTGACTGTCTATAATCCCGTGTGCTTGCTAGTGGTGCTTGTGTTCTGTCCTCAGAGTTGATCTATGCTTTGCCTCGTGCATTAGTTATTTTGCTAGTCACTGTGATGCCTCGCCCAACAAAGGTAACTTAAGGTGGAAAGGATTTATTGTGGCTTATGATCCGAGGTTACAATGTCTCATTACAGGAGAGCTATAGTGGAAGGAACCCCAGGCACCTGGCCACTGTGTCACCTGTCAGACAGCAAAGGGAAACAAATGCTGGTGTTCAGCCAGCTTTCTTTGTATTCAGTCTGGAATCACCGTTCAGTAGATGGTGTTGCTCATATTCAGGGTGGGTCTTCCATCTCCAGTCAAACCTTCCTGGAAATGTCCTTATAGACATCCCAGAGGTGCGTTTCCATGGTGATTCTAACCCAGCCACAATGACAGTGAAGATGAACCATCGCACCTAGATACTGCAGTGCGTGTTGCAAGTCATTTTTCTTTGCCTTTTAAAGGTACTGTTTCGCCTTCTTGCTGCTGTGGAGAAAGAAGTCTGAAGGTTCTGACTTCTCCTTCTTTGTGTAGAACCTATTTGCTTTTCCCCCGGATGACAACTACTGGAAGGGATCTTTTCTTTGTCTGACGTTTTCTGAAATTTCATAAAATCGTTACAGAGGTTGGTAAGCTGAATCATTTCAACATGACAATCTGAATCCTTTAGTTCTTTGACATTTTATTGAATAACATTGTTATGATAGTCCTTTCATTTTTTTCTCTTCTCCCTTTCTTGAGAGTTTATTTTATTCAACTACAGGCCCACTATACCAGTCTACCAGAGTGTTCATTACTTTCCTCTTCTGTCTTCCTCATCTTTATCTTTTGATTTTGCTTTGTGGATTTTTTCATGCTTATCTTTTAATACTTTTATTGAGTTTAAAAAATTCTGCTATTATGCTGTCAGTTTCTAAGAACTCTTTTTGATCTCACAGATTTTTCTCTTAAACTTCCCTGTCTTTGTTTCATAGATGCAGGATTTTTACATTTTTGATGTATATAGTGTTTTGTCTGCATGTATATATGTGCACCTGTGTGTGCCGGGTGCCCACGGAGGCTAGAAGAGGGCATTAGGTCCGTCAGAACTGAAGTTACAGATGCTTGTGAGCCACTGTATGGGCACTGGGAACTAAACCCAGGTCCTTTACAATAGCAGCAAGTACTTGTAGGTCCTAAGCCATCTCTCCAGCCATCTCTAAGCCATTTTATTCCTTTATTTTAATGAGAACATTAGTGGTATTCTTCCCTAATTTCTGTGTTCTATCTATCTATCTATCTATCTATCTATCTATCTATCTATCTATCTGTCATCCATCTGTCATCTTTCAGGTTACTTTTCTAAGATGTCACTCTGTGTGTGATTCCTTAGCTGTGTTGCTCCAGATTAAGAGAGAGAGAGAGAGAGAGAGAGAGAGAGAGAGAGAGAGAGAGTGTGTGTGTGTGTGTGTGTGTGTGTGTGGTGGTAGGGTGGGGGCGTGGGATGGTGGCAGGAAGGCTGTCAAGATCTTGACATTATAATAAGTGAAAGAAGCCACTCAGTAAAGTCCACATAGACTATGACTTCATTTCTACAAAGTGTCCAGACTAGACAAACTGATGGATACTGAGAATAGATTAGTAACTGCCCAGGACTGGAGAATGGGGAATGCAAAGTGACTGCAAATGGGGATAGGGTTTCTTTGAGGGAGAGGAAAGTGTTTTAAAATAGATTGTGATATACTTTTAAAATGTTGAATTGTATGCTTTGAAAGATCAATTGTGTGGTATGTGATTTCTTCTTTTTTTTTTTTCCCAGACAGAGTTTCTCTGTATTGCTTTGGAGGTTGTCCTGGAACCAGCTCTTGTAGACCAGGCTGGCCTCGAACTCATAGAGATCCGCTTGTCTCTGCCTCCCAAGTGCTGGGATTAAAGGTGTGCGCCACCAACACCCAGCTGGTATGGGACTTCTATTTCAATAAAGCTGTTTAAAAATGTGGCCAGGAAATTCACATGTCAGATACTGATTGCTAGCTCTGGGTCCAACTGTAGAGAGATTGCTGTGGGTTCTTTGTGAGGACTCCCTGATGTCAGCGTTGTCAGGATTTCCCTTGGCTGCCTCCACTGTCTCTGCAGAGTGAGATTCTACCTGATAATGTGCTAGCGCACAAGAGGGACAGGACGAAGGCCTAGCCTTGCATCTTCGGTCGCCATAGTGTTGTTTCCTACCTCTCGTCTCTGGGTACTCCCAGACGGAAACATGGCTGCCGTCCCCCTGTGGGAAAGCCTGGTGATGTTAAAGGCAGAGAGGAGGCACGGTGCTGTCTTCGCTCAAGTGCTGCCACCGTCGGCTATGGATATTTTTGTTGCCTCTCTAGCCTTGACTCCTCCTCCCCAGCGTCTTTTGGAGCAAATGCTAGCCCTTTGTAGCCGATGCTCACGAGTGACTAGGCCAGTGGAGTTTGGTCAGTAGGGAGGAAGTTGGTGATGTAAGTCTTTGAGCAGCTTTCCCCTGTTCTTCTCTTGGCATCCTAGTTACTAAGAGGAGAGAAAAAAAGCCTGAGTCCCGTCCTTTCAGAGGGTTCTGCCATAAATCAGCTGAGCCTTGGTTTTTACTGCAAATGTCTCAGGATTCAGATTTCTCCAGTCATCACGCCTTGTTTGTCTACTCCCAACCTTCCCGGGTCTGACACCATTCTCTTCTCTCATCTGTGTCTGTGCTTGCAAAGTTTTGCTAGTAAATGGAAAGAGAACATTTCACTGAGTTTTTAGACAGCTTGGGGAATATGTAAAATCAGGTGCGGTTCTGTGAGTCAGTTTTCCCAGAAGTTGGCTCCTTACTTTCTCTTTTCAATCTTGCCTCAACTTAGACTTTTCAACTCTCCAACCCTGTTTTATTTATTTATATATGTATTTATTTGTCTGGGAAACGTTCAGGTATTTCCAGGACACTGGGGAATCTTAGCTTCGCATACCTCTCTTCTGAGGCACAGATGAGGAGTCCCGTTGGCCTTTTCTGCCCCCTTCCCACTTATAAACCTAGCTGCCTACACTTTGCTTGCTGCACTGTGGCTTGTTTACCTGCCTGTGTGCCCCAGTGGCCTGTGGAGCATTGTGATTACAATTCTCCCTTCCCACCACACATTTCTTAACTCACAGACTGGATAACTCAGCATTGTGTTCCTAGGGGTGGGACAGGCAAGTGCACAATGGGCCTTTTCCTTATTATCTTCTAAAGGCACTTCCGCGTGGTAAATATTAAAGGGCACAATGTGCTTTGTAGGCTTGTACATTCTCTCCGTGTTCGAGTCTTACATTTTAACCCAGCCAGCAGGTTGGAAAAGAAGGAGGAGGGAGGGCTTCATACATGTAAGCATCTTAGCAGGGACGTTCTGAACTGGGTCAGACAGGCATTTGTCTTCTTCCCCTGGTAGAGAGGCTAGGGACTTGCACTCTGCTTTCCGTTAGAGAAGGACATAATTTGTTCTGCATTAACACACACGTAGTGTGTGCCTCTGCTTTTTGCCTTTGGGCAAAAAACATCAGGAGAGTTTTGGAGATTGCTGAATGCATTCTTGAGGAATCTGATGTTTGGGTATTATCTGGGTGAGATCCTGTTCAAAATGAAAACATGTTGGACTTTGGGCTCCTATCCAACAATGAGAGATGCACTCTCACCCTGGACTCTTGGGGGAGGGTCTAGGCCCTGCCCTGGATGAAATGACAGACTATGGTTACCCCTCATGTAGGGCCTCACCCTCCCTGGGGAAATGAGAGGATATTGGGGGGGTTGGTGGGAGGGCACGGGAGGAGGGGAGGGAAAAGGAGAGAGGAACCTGGGATTGACATATGAAGCAACCTTGTTTCTAATTTAAATTTAAATTAAAAAAGAAAACATGTAAGCATGCTGTTGTTTACCACAAATGTTAGAAATAACCCTCAGGAGGGGAGGGAGAGGTACAGGGAGCTACTAATGGAGCAAACTTGGTGTGCCCACCTTCACAAGGTGCTCCTTACTTTGGACTTCCTGAACGGGAGAATAGTAGGCAGCTGGCTTTACTTTGCATCTCAGGAGGAGCACAGCTGGGGAAACATCGTCCCTACTCCAGCCAATCCTTCTGGTCCAGTTCAAAGCCACTCTCCAAGGCTTTCCAGTCGCCCCGGAGATGTCCAGCCCTTTGCTCTTTGAAATGCACTGCCTTTGTTGCCTAGTTGTCTCACACCGCTCCTCTCCTACCTTCTGGGAAATCATGCATCCCTGAGTCATGTTACATCACCTTCTTTCCACTGCACTGGATACTTCTGAGAGCCATCCCAAAGTCCACAGGACACTGGTGGGGATGTTCTTGGAGTAGAGCCCAAGGGGGCTTGGGAGCTCAAGACCCTCGTTGCTCAGGCATATGGATAGGCAGACTCCCAGTGAGAATCCAGGATCAATGTAGGAGACTGGTCCTGAGCAGGAGATACTGGGAATATAGATTGAACGTGCTCAAGATCAGTGTAAGCACTGAATGTGTCAACTTAATCCCAGTCGGCAAGCAGATGGTGTTTTAACCATTTCACAGAGCAGTAGATAGAGTGTCAGGCACAGTGAAAGTATTAGACTATCTATGTCATCTGTCTCCCAACACTTTCCACAAAGGAGCTCTAAGTTTTATGAAATAGAAGATCTTATAAATAAATACTTATGAATGATGAGGTAACTGTTATAATTCGGAGTAGTCACTAGGTATGGGAGAACCAGCTATGAGAGGCTAAGTTAAGCCTGGGGGATGGAAGATAGAAGTTCCTGGGATGGGGGGAGTGGTGGCAGAGCAGGTGGAAACAAGATTACAGTGACTGAAGGTACTGAAAAGAAAGCTTAAGAGCGAGAATTACCATGATGCCTTGGGGTCACTGGCCATGATGTGTGAGTTAGAAGCAAGGCTGGTTAAGCTGAGAAGGTGTTGTAACAGGTTGGAAACTTTACAGGTTAGGAGCCTCTGCCTTCCAAGTGCTAGAATTAAAGGTGCATACCCTCCACTCCAGGTTAAAACCAGTTAATGGAAGCCAGTGAAGTAGACTTCTAATCGGTCTTTCGAAAGGACTATAGCAGGTTTGTTTTATATGATACCAGCATTACCTGATTTGATATAAGACAAATCTACAACCATCATTATTATTTGAGATCAAACTAAGAAATGCTTAATTAAGGGCCTATAGATGTGTTGAGCTGTATGCTTGGGACTATGGGCAGTCTAATAAAATGTATAGAGCTTGATCTGTCTTCCTGAACTTCTTATTGGAGAAGCTGGCATTTACAAAGTCATTGGGACCAAGAGAATCAATATTTATGGAACACTTGCTATGTGTCAGGTACCTTGGTGAGTGTTTTACCATTTTATCAAAGTACCTCATTAAACTCGCACAGCATGCCCTGAGGTAGATAATGCTGTTTGCACTTTCTAGATGGAGGAGCCAAGCTTTGGAGAGTGACTTGCTCCGCTAGTAAGAGGGACAGAACTGCAATCCCAACCCCAATCTGTCTGATTCTACTACTAGGTCACTGCTCCTGTTAGCAGTGGCCAGTAAGTGTCTTGAATTTCCTGAAGCGCTCTTCCTCCTACTCTGATGGTTGAGCCAGAGAATAGTTTTAAGATTTGATGT